CTGCTTTTTCATGTGCAGTGGGCCATTAATTTTCTGTTCAGAAACAGTGGCTAGAATATTCCATGGAAAGTTCACTGAACCTACATTTATCCCTGGCTGAGCTCCGTTCACTTCAAATCATTGCTAATCTCAATTCACCTCTTTGTGGAACTTCTAGTAGCCATAAATAACAAAAAGTACTGTGTGATTGTATTCCTAAAATAGAAGTGTTGCCAGGCTTAGGAGCATGCAAATATTCTCATATTTTTTTTTGTCAAGCAGTAAATGGGCTTTCAAAACCTCAATGACCTTTCTAGCTGCAGACACTGTGGAATAATCTGAAAAGTTCACAAGAGACGCAGTGAAGTTGGGTTTCAGCACTCTTCTTCTTCTTCTTTCCCCCCCCCCCCCCCTCTTCCTGGCAAAGTCAATACAGGAAGGTATGAGAAGGGAGAGAGAACCTGCTGAAATGAAAGTGCTTTATGTTAACTTTGAGAATTAATTATCCATAATGCTTGCAGCTACAGAGCTCACAGAATTCAGTAGGTTCTATAGCATAACTAGTCGTGGAAGTCTTACTGATACAGCTGCTGTGTACCAATATGACATCTGTCCGGGAGCGTGTCCCCAAATGCACACAGTGCGAGTTCAGGCACATACATCCACACCCACACAGATGTCATATTTGTACACAGCAGCTGTGTCCCAATTGACATCAATTGCAGGTGGTGATAGTAGCAGGATTGATTCCAAAAAAGTGTATTTTAGGACATTTATTCACCTATTCGGCTCCCAGTCTTGTAGGCATAAATGCAAAGCAGAATTTTGAAACTTAGGCCTCATGCATGCTGGAACTCTCCTAGAACCCTTTCTCCTGGCAGCAGCGTTTTAGCAATAAAAAGCCTGACGCATTAAAAGTGTATAATGTGTTTTCCTGCATCAAGCGCTTGGGCATTAATTCATTTCAGTGGCCAGAAAAAAAAATTATTTAAAAAAAAGTTTAAATAATTTAAAATGGTTTATTCTCGCCAATTAAATGATTTAACGATCAAGTGCTTAACACACCCAGCATTAACCCTTGCTTAGACACGTTTACAAATGCTGCTAAAAGCCTATGTGTGCATGGACACATAGGTGACATGCAAGGAAGTTTGGAGGCAAGGGAAAACAAAAATACCAGATGTCCCTAGGAGCAGCTGTAGTAAACGTCCAGTGTGGATGAGGCGCCCCCCAAACTACAGTGTAATCTGTTAAGCGGGTGTGAGGGGAGGCTACTGCATAATTTTTCCAGCACAAATGGCCTCCATCCCAGGAAGTCTTCATGTGGCGCTTACCAGCATACTTTCATTGCATGCCTTACTGGAAGCAGCCTGGCTTGACCAGCACACCTTAATAGCGCTTTACTGGGAAAAAAACAATAAGTTGTGCAGTGAGTATGTGTTAGACCCAAAAGGAAGCAGGAACCGTTTCCTGGATGTTTGAATGTCACATGAATGCAGGTTGCCAGACCATCATCACCTCAATTCCATGCTGACTTCATTTTTGCACAGCTATGTTTGTGGGGGGGGGGGGGGACGACGACTATGGACCTCAAGCATTGAGTTGGGACAGGATTGGCTTTAGCTACAGTATTTAGAAGGTGGCATGAAGAGAGTTCATGCTCTGACTGGGTAGTTAGCACCGTGTATTCAACTTGATAATGAAAACTTATGTTCCTTAAGGACAAGTTTACCTTTTTTAGGGTGGAACATTTAAATGCTGCAGCTGCCACCTGCTGCCCCCCCCCCCCTGTACAGGCAAGCAGATATACTGACAGATCTGCAGGAGACTTGCATGGCACCATATACATGACTGTGACTAAAAAAAAAGGAATTTATACCCTGAATACTTTCATTACATTTTATTGGCCGCGTAGTTACCAGAATACAATCTTTGTTACTTTAGTAGGTTTTTAAGAGAAGCGGTTGCTATGGTAATTTGACAGGTGTATGACACCATCAACAAAGTCTAGGGTTCTCTGGAAATAATGTCCTTAATTGGCTGGCATGGTGTTTGTCTGCAGGGACAAACCCTGAGAAGACAAATCCAAAGGCAGAAAGAAGTAAACTTGTTTAAAAGAAAAAAAAAAAAAAAAAAGTTCATTTTTTTCTTATTTTTTTTTTTTTTTTCTTTTTTTTCTTTTTTTTTTTTTTTTATTCATTTTATTCCAGCAACTTATTTCTTCCCCATCACAGGAAATAAACACAAATGGGTTCCCCTGCAAATTGAAATGAAACCTGAGGGACCACGAGACAAAACCACCACAAGGAATAACCGACAGAATGAAACAGCAGCGTCACTCTTTGAACCGGAGTGATCCCAAAGGTAGCAGCAAACATCCATTTTAACACTTGTTAGCTTGCATCTCTAATCATTGTAATGTGACATGATTCATGTTTGTGACCCTGTTACTTGCAAATAAGTTGAATGGATCAAGGCACCTTAACATTTTGATAATTTCATGGTTTTGTTGGAATTTATCAGTGGCATGTGCGAGATCTCAAGACAACCATAGTCAGCATACACTGGGCTTGGAGCTCTTCTCACCTTGACAAAGCTGCTAATTATTGTTATTACACACAGTATTTTTATAGCGCCAACAGTTTGCTCAGCGCTGTACATTACAATGGGAGACAATACATGAAACAGTACAGTAACAATACAATAAAATACACGACTGGTTTGAGGGCCCTGCTCCTTGCAGCTTACAATCTAGGATGGCCAAGCAGCAGTCCTGACACATGGGAGGAAAAGCAGTGAGAGCCATGGTCTCTATACCTGGAAGTTTTGGGTTTTCTCTTTGCTTCCAGGAATTACAAAGAAGTGTAAAATCCAGGTGAGAGTCATCAGACACTAATAAAGAATAAGGCAACATACATGTCAGGTTTTTTTTTTTTTTTGTTCAACCAAACTAACCCGATTCCCCCCATCCAGTCATTCATTGTTGATGGAGAAATTCTTCATTGTATTCTAACAGCATGATAATACATTGTGATCTGGTGGCAAATATCTGACAGGGTGATTGTACAGAAGTCAATCAGAAGTCAACCACAGTGCCCATACATAGGTCTGAAAAACATTAAAGTTTGCAAAGAACACCTGTGGTATCACTCAAAATTAGACACACTAACCTTTGTTTACCATATAAATAAAACCATCCATGAAGCTTCAAACATGGCGTCCCTTCACCTTGTGCCACTCCAAATGCTCACCTTGTGTATAGACATCTTAAAATCACAGGAGGTCTATAACTGCGTTATAACTGTATAGATGGTTATTTATATTTACCACTGCACATAGATATTCAGGAATAAATTGTTTTGTTTTTTTTTGTATACCCTACCTGTTAACTAAATTATAATACTCCAAACTTTTTTGGAGGTTTTTATCCGATTATTCAAAACAATAATTGCCCTACTAATCGATTAGTAAAATAATCTTTAGATGTAGCCCCAACACTGCTCTTCTCACCCCTCTGCTGACAAGAGGCTCTGCAGCAGCAGGAGCCATTGGCTCCTGCTGCTGTCAATCAAATCCTGAGAGCGGCAGGCAGGGGGTAAGCCACACTGTGTGCCAATAGATAGTGTGGCTAGGGATCAAGCCTGCACAAGTACCTCCATAGCAAGCGGATTGCTATGTGTGCACTCAGAGTGCAGGTGGAGCCAGGAGCGTTTGGATACATTGGGTTGCACACACACAGTACTTGTCCCTGTTGAAACGGCTGAATTTCGATCCATGTATGGCTAGCGTAAGTGCAAAATTTTGTGAGGAATGTTTCACACCATATTATGGGTGACTTAAAACCAGCAGCCCTAATCCTTGCCTTAAAGTGTATGAAATAGCCCAAACCATTTTCTTTAGTTTAGATGGGGAGGGCAGATTTAAATGACTGCCAGGCTATTTTTTATTTTTTTCTGTCTTATGTGCCTCTTGTCCCCAGGACAAATGCTATATTAAAAGATTTCCCCTGACCTCTTGTTCTGGAACATCTCCCTAAAATTATCAGTTTCCCACCTCCATTCTTTTTCAGTGTCAGTGGTAATATTGCAAACAGGGTGAACCTCCCCAGCGGTGATTTGATCAGCATAAAGTTTGGCAGAAGAGCTAACCCTTCCTTAATTTGTTTACAATTGAGACCGCTTTTGCATAAAAATACACTTTAAAGTAGAAGTACACCTTGGAAATCGTAGATGCTGTTTAAACAGCCATATAACCCATGTACTTGGCTAAATGCATAGATTGTCACTTCCATCTTCCACATTTTTGTTTCTTTTGCAATCAACCTTTCAAAGCCACCATCTAGTTTCAGCGACACCATGCCCCACCTGTCTCTCATTCTCACCCCCATGCTATCCACATCCATTGTCTGACACATCAGGGCACAGAGCAAGTGCATTCAATCTGTAGATACGGCTGGAACAGTGGTGAGGTGCATGCTCTGGAGTAAGCTGCAAATGTTAGTTGTAGGTGTTATTTTAGAAGGAGAGACTTTGACGTCATGTGCTCGCTTACTAATATGAGAGTCAATGGAAAAAGATAATCAGGGACTCTAACAGACAAGTCTGCAGCTAAGAGATAAGGTTGGTAAATTTTCAGTGTGGGCATGTTATCTGTGTGTATATATATGTATGTATATATATATGTGTGTGTGTGTGTGTGTGTGTGTATATATGTGTGTGTATATATATATATATATATGTGTGTGTGTGTGTGTGTATATATGTATATATATGTGTGTATATATATTTGTCTTTTACTTTGTGGATATTAGCAGTGAATTTCTACTTTAGAGGAAAATTGCTGGGGGCAAGGAAGGAGAGATGGACATCCCATTTTACTAAAGGGTTGCCTTTTAGAATAAAGCAATTTTGTAAGGAAATATAAATTCCAACTGCAATACAGTTCTCAGGTGACTGAGGTTGGTACTGTTTTTGAACTTGTAGCAGGTGGTGTATTTAATTTTCTTTTTTTTCTTAATACATCCAGTTTGGTATTCGGATAACAAACAAGAAAGGGACTGGCCAGATTATGATGACACTTCTAGTGTGAAAAGCGAGGGTGCTGTCCGTGGTGGCTACCGAGGACGTGGCCGTGGACGAGGCAGAGGGAGAGGACGTGGCCGAGGAGGCATGCGTTGTAAGTCTAAAATCCATATGGTAGCTAACAGATTGGAAAAGCCAATTTGTCCTGTAAAATATATTAACTATATATACTAATTATTATAGAGAACTGTTCAACGATTTTTGTTCCTTTTTATATTCATAGCACACTTTGATTACCAGTATGGGTACAGGAAATTTGACGGTACAGATGGTCCTCGAGGTCCGAAATATCCCAGTAATATCACTTACTACTATGACAACATGAGCAGCTCAGATCTGTACAGTGTGGATCAGGAGCTGCTGAAAGATTACATCAAACGGCAGATGTAAGTCGTGTTGTAGTGCAGCACGGTTTCCATAAATCTCTGGGGCACTGCAGTTATTTTGTACTTGACGCCAAAGGGATGAGTTGCTATAAGAAGTTATCTTTATGTGTAAATTTTATCTTGAGCTTTTGAGTTCTCCACTATACTACTTCTACTGCCTTCATCAATGAAGCAAATGGAGAGCCTGTAAAATGTGAAAAGAAACCTAGGCTCTACCTGCTGTTTCTAAAACAGAATGTAAAATGTTTGGACTAAAGTCATGAGTCTAAAATATTTTATGTACAAAGCCACTAAAAAAAGTATGTTACCAAGGGCTAACACAGATGAATGCCAGCAAGGAAGTGGGCCTAAATTTTTTTTCATAACTTCCTGGTTTGAAAGGACATGTCTTCTAAAACTGCTAAATTATGTCGCCTTAACGTTCTACAACCCCCAAAGCTGCAGAAGCCAGGTATGACTTGGCCCACTTCCCACAATGCAATGCTTGGTGATCTGTCTGCAGACTTGGGCCATGCCATATAAAAGGTTTGCCTAATCTTACAAAAGTCGGAACAGTTTAGGTACACTCAAGGGCTCTCTGTGGGACTGATGGTGGCGTCATAGTCTAGCAGTTTATGCTGGTTGCTTTACTTTAGTTAATAATATACAATAGACGTATAGTTTAAAAACTGTACCGAAAAAAATTGAATTGGACAAAGTCTGCATTTTCTTGGCCACCGCAGGTTAGCATTCCGGTTGGAGAAGTGGGGTTTACTCACCAGTGTCCTGTTCTTGGTTTGCAAAATCTCTCCTCTTATCCTTTACTAGGCTGGTAAACTGTAACTGATGGCATATATTTGCACAACCACTCAGAAATGAAGCGTGGAAGCTGCACTTAATTTGTAGCATGTGCCAAAGAGGGCAGCAATGGTTTGATCATATTACATCTTGTTTACTCTACATTTTGTCCTTAGCAGTGCAGTTTAGCGTAATTCCACATAAGACTTGAAAAAGAACCTGTGTGTGTGTGTGTATAAAATATATATATATATATATATATATATATATGTGTGTGTGTGTGTGTGTTTTTGTTTTGTTTTTTTTATCTAAAGGGGTTTTGTGTGTTCCCTTTTCAGCACTAGCATTGTCTAGGTAGTTGTCAGGTAGAATGCAATACTTGTATTAACAGAGACACATGACAGCATGTTGTGCGCTGCAAACAGAAAGTAATGTTTACTATGTTAGCAAAAATGTAACCTTTCTGCTTGTGCTGTATGTTCCATTTTCTGAACCATTCAGTTGCACTGTGTTGTAAGTGACATCCAGACTCTTTCTGCACACTATGCAGTATATTATATATGCTACACCACTGTCAAGTTTTATACATCATACCATATTAATTAATACATCGGTCGTTCATATAGTGAACTCGGGTGGAGTTATTCACCCTGAGGTCATCACAGAGGACAAGGGGGCACTCTTTATGTCTGGAGGAAAAGAAATGCAATCTCCAAACACGGAAAGGTTTCTTCACAGTAAGAGCTGTGAAAATGTGGAATAGATTCCCTCAAGAGTTGGTTCTGGCCAGCTCAGTGGATTGCTTTAAAAAGGCCTGGATTCTTTCTTCGAAACACAGAATATAACTGATACTAACATTTACAGGTAAAGTTGATCCAGGGAATAGCCAGTTGCCTCTCGGGAGATCAGAAGGGAATTTTTTTTCCCTGCAGGAGCAAATTGTATTATGCTTTGCTGGGGTTTTTTTTGCCTTCCTTTGGATCAACTGTGGGTATAGGATTATAACTTTTTTTTTTTTTTTTTTATGGTTGAACTGAATGGACTTTTGTCTTTTTTCAGCCAGACTATCTATGTAACTCTACCACTAATTATAGGACATTTTTACAAGTAAAAAACTTTTGTGATCAAGCTTACTTAGTCTGTTCGCAGATAAAATGGAGCATTCAGTCTGTCACAAGTCCTTGGGAGAAACGTTTCCATGAATACTGTTCTATAGAAGATAAAAAGCTAACTTATTAGCAATTTATGAATAAGTTTACTTAGAGTTCAAACTTGGTAGAAAACCAGGTCTGATAGCTCACAAGCCTTGGAACTGTCAGCTTTGGGTGGGCTTAACTGTATGTATCCCCTGTACTTCAGATGTAACTGGTTCTTTTAAAGATCTTCTTGTGATGTTTTAATTGTTTTTTCATATGGTGCCCTACAGAGAATATTACTTCAGTGTGGACAATCTGGAGAGAGACTTTTACCTGCGTAGAAGAATGGATTCTGAAGGTTTCCTTCCTATAGAGCTAATAGCCACCTTTCATAGAGTACAGGCTCTCACCACCGACATTGGGTTGATAGTTAAGGTGAGTATGAAGACCTGGGTTGTACTTGAAGCTTTAATGGTAAAAAAATGTATTATCAAAAGGTTTCCCAAGCACATGTAATGAGGAAGACCTTGAATACCCCTTTACAAGCACTACTGTACTCCTGGGGCAGCAAAAAAGTGTCCTGCTGAATGGATTATCCCTTTCCCATTTTAAAATCTATAGATTAACTTTTTAGTGCATGATTCCTCTTTAATCTGCGCTCTCTCTCTGACACTGCACAGATAATGGTCATCAACGTCTGTTGCGCCCTTTTAACCATTTGAAATCAAAGTGGTTCCTGATCATGTGATCAGTACATGTGCTATGACATAGTGATCACATGCACACTATTAAGCCTGCATATGCTATTGCAGCTTTAGATAATTTTTTTTTTTTTTTCCATTTCTGTGCATTTGTCGACCTATAATAAACCAAGTAAGCAGTATTTTTATTAACAGTGTACCAATTAAAATGTCATTTTATAGTGAAGTTATTGGATGTACATTTTCACATTTCTAAAGTGTGCTTGGTGCACATTCTCCTGTTCACAAATCACAGTGCTGAAATAAACTCATGTTGCGGTGTCTTTGGGGTAAATCCTGTGGTGTACATGCTCACATGTATCTTCCACACTGCTGATGGCTGAAGCCCAGATCCTGTAGTAGAAGCTCACACACAAGCTTTGAATGTGCTGCAGTGCCTTGCTCTTCTATGTGGGAGCCCTAGGCTTTTATATCTACATCTGATGTTAAAATGACAATAGTTTAATTCAAAACTCCAGGCAAAAACCTGGATAAGTAGTTTAATATGTTTACTGAGAAATTTGTAAATCTGTACAGACAGTTTTGTGATTAACACATTTTTCATACTAAACATTCAGATACACACTTAGATCCTAATAAAGCAGCTCATCTTCTTGGTTCAGCAGTGCCGCTTCCTATGTCACCTCTCTGCCTTCAGCTAGAATCAGCAATAGCACCTTTGTCCAGTAAGCAGGAAGCTAACCCAAGAAACCATAACGGTTAAAGTGTAGTATAGATCCATTTATTGAGTGTTTGGAAAATAAACCTGAGAGGTTCTATCCCCCTGTCTCTGTCCCCGCAACAGAAATTTAAAGTAGAAGTCGAGTCGAATACTATCTACACCTAAACCTGTTCACATCCCCTTTGTAAGCCCTGTTCTAACTGCCCTGTAGAGGAAAGATGTCTATACTTGCCTATTCCCGGGGTGTTCTTTACTGAAGCCAGCCACCTGGGAAATCACATGACCCATCGCCAAGGGAATAGGTTATGGGTCTCAGTATATGGGTGGGGGCAGACTTAAATTTAGTTAGAATTTTGAATGTCTGCTTTAACTTTGCATTTTTTTTGTCGTGCTGACAAATGTCTCCAGCACAAAAGGTGAGGGGAAATCTTCCAACTGTGAAGCTTTTTAACGGGATTTCTTCTTGCTTCTCATCTCTGAGCAGGAGGTGAAAGGAAATCTCCCCAGTGTGACACAGATCCTTGACAGATTCCCTACTCTATACAAAATAAAGAAAAAACTTAGATATACTTTAACCTTGAAATCGTGATATTTCTGGCTAGCAAGGTTTGTGTATCGCAAGAATGGTTTTCCATAATTGCGAATCTGCTAACTGCTAGAAAAGTAAGCACTTGTACTTTAATGTGCATTTAGCCGTTTGCCTAAAGTTCTATGTTAAGGAACCTTTTTTCTGTTTTGCATAAATGAGGACTTCTTCATCTGTCTCTTCTGTTTTATGTATTTTTGCAGATATGAAAGCAACATTTTTTTTTTACCTTCACATCTAGGCATTAAAAGACAGCAAAGTGGTAGAAGTGGTAGATGAGAAAGTTCGTAGAAAAGAGAAGCCTGATGCCTGGCCTCTCTTAGTCCCTCCAGCGGATGCTGCTCAAACTGACTTTTCCCAACTTATCAACTGTCCTGAGTTCGTACCCCGACAAGGATTTCAGAAGGAGACAGGTACACTTTTTCTGTGACTGTAGTGCTTGAATTGTGACTAAAAGTGGGAGGTTGTCCTATTTAAAAACCGTTCTAGCCAAGGTTAAGGCAGTATTTGTTCATGTTGTGTGTTTTTTTTTTTTTTTTTTTTTTAACTTTATAAGACCTGTACTATGGATAGTGTGCCCCAAAAAGGCATGCAAAGGGCTAGTCACCAGTAAAATAGAATAACTGAGTTTATTTTCCTTTTTAAAAGAGATGATTTAAGTGGGTAAATCACCATAGAATGTCTAAAGTTGTCAGGACAGGGGCCGAGGAACAGACAGGCAGGCCTAACAATGTAACGCACTGGCTGACGACAACCACCACCCACAGACCGAAGTCCCTCAGGGCGCGGAGTCTAAGTCCCAGGCTGCCCTTCACCAGGGCCCCTGATGGTGGGGATGGACTTGACGCAGCCAGGAACCAGGTCGCAGCCCCTGAGACACCTCTGCTGCGGTAATGGCCGCCGCCAATGGCGTGTAGCTGGTGGAAAAGACAAAAGAGTAGTCAGGCAGGCCGGGTCGTCAACAACGGGACAAAACTGTACAGGACAGCAGACGAGAATCACAGGTCACGAGCCGGGTTCAGCAACAGACGGTCAGATCAAAGGAGAACGCAAAGAATAGTCGAGTCACAAGCCGAGTCAGATTCCAGGAGAGTCACGAGAGTCAGAACAGAGTAATAGCAACACAAAGACACAAGTGCAAAGAGCATGTGCGGACCACAGGCTTATATGTCATCAGCCACACCCCTCTGGGGGATGGACCTCAGAGACCTGAAGGCATAAAAGGATTCCCACCATGCTCAGCAGAAATCCAAGATGGACGCCAGCACATGGAGTAACATAACCTCAGGGAAAAGGTAGGACCTTGACAAAAGTAAACTTAGTACAAAGCTGTTCACTTTTAGGTAATTGCAAAATGGCTTGGAGAAAGAGGTTTAACCTCCACATATGGAAAGACTTCTTTACAGCTAGAGCTTAAAACACTTCTAATAAACTTCCACAGGAGCTAATTCTAGCCAACCCAATAAATTGCATCAAAAAATGCCAGAGGTGTTTCTAAATGCACAAAATATAACTGGCTTTTTATATTTGTAAGAGATGACACTGTTTATTGTTAACCCAGGAAGTATCTGATTGCCTTAGGAGGGCAGGTAGGACATTTTCATTGTTAGAGAAACCATACTTTATAAGGGTTCTTTGCTTTCCTTTAGATCAGCTATGGGCTTTAGGTTGTGAGGTTGCAAAGTTTTACATTTTAGTTTTAGTTTTTTGGACTAAAACTCGATAACCATGTGCCTTTTTTTTTACCTGTATACCAATAAAGAAGCATTAGCAGGTGCAGACTAAGCTTTTCTTTTACAGAAAAGTTGTGGTCTGCATAATCTTTCATCTTCCCATTCCTCTGGATCTAGTGATGGTTTTGGACTGTAGTTTTCAACTTGGCATATGCAGTGTTTGATCAAACTTGCCAAGGTTTTCTCCACTTAGTACTCACCTTTTGTGAGTGTGCAAAAGTTATGAATAAGTGTTGTATTGTAAGAGGACAGTAATTGTTACCTATAGAACTTTAATTATTTCTGTACCTATTTTCTCTGCAGAATCAGCTCCTGGATCACCAAGATCCTCCAGCCCCCCTGTGCCCTCAAAGTCAGTGGAAGTTAGTAACCTGAAGACTATGCCAAAGGGGCTGTCTGCAAGTTTACCAGACTTGGACTCTGAGAGCTGGATAGAAGTCAAGAAGAGGCCACGACCTTCTCCAGCCAGGACAAAGGTTAGACCAAAAATAGTAGACACATTGTGGTTCAGAGCAGGAAAATTACAGAGCAATATGCAATATTGACTGTTGTAGTGGATACAACGTAAGAAACCTTTTGTCAGGATTTGGATTTCATCCCATCCCTTGGGCTGTATTGGTAAACCAAGTACCATATTCATGAAGTTTTAGTTCATTTTTTAGAATTTTACTTCTTGCTTTAAAATGCACCCTCTAAAGCCCAGTTGTTTTATATTCTAAAAATCAAGTCATGGTGGATCGGTATCCGCCTGTTTTATTTTTGTAAACTTTCCCCAGGAGAAGACCCCAATGTGTTTGGGATTACGCTGTAGAACGACACTGCTGCACTCTGTGTGAAAGCAGTGGTCTCTCTACACGAGTCTTAACACCCCCCACCCCTGCAAAGTCAGACCTACATTACTTCAATGAGCAGGGAGGGTCAACATTGCTGTTTGAAGGACTGTAAGTCTGAGAGATCACTGCTCACACACAGCCTGCATTAGTTTGAATGTGCAGCATAGTGACCAGCATAGCTGTTTTCTGTTGGGGCAGGTATATAGAAAGAAAACAAAGTAAGAAACGTACAATTTTTTTGATACTGTGATTTGGATCTATTGGATTTTAATAATTCTCATTCATTGTTGACAGACCTTCTTTAATTTAGAGAACTTAGTTGGACTATAGGCAATTTTTTTTTCATTTTTGGAATAGAGCCAGGGAGGATTATAGCCCCTGTGAGATTTTTTTTTTTTTTTTTTTTTTTTTTTTCACACCATCTGTGTCCCATTGGGGAGATTCCATTCACTTTCTTTCCCATAGCCAAACAGGAAGTGAGAAGGAATTCCTGCACATTAGGTCACCAGAACTTTTGTCCCCATTGGAAGATTTCCCCTCTTTCTTTTCTGGGGATAACCCAAAATTTGGGATTTTCTTTTACTTTCAAAGACAATGGTAAACAAGACAAATCGAGAGGATGAGTCAACGTAATGGGGGCACAGACAGGAATAAAAAAAAAAACCTAACAGGTGTTCTAATCCCTCTCCACTCTGCCCAAAACTAGAAAAAAAAGGTTTTGACTTTAGTTTATATTTGAACACTGAACGCCAGCCATGCTTAAAAATGGATATTTTGCCATTCTTTTCTCCCACTTGTTATCGTTTTGGCATGTATTGTGATAAATGTTATCTAGTGGCCCCAGGGTGTTGCTAGCAGACTCCACGTCACATCTTAGTGGTGCAAGCTCTAGCCATTTTGCTAAATTTCACATTTTGGATAGCTATGGGTATGATATTGGGCAGTGTTCTAGCTACACTGAAGGCATAAAGGAGCATCATGTTGAAACGGGAGCAACAACTTCATTATGGTATTTTGTTAAGGAGCAGAAAAATCACACACTGGGGCAGCTGAGAGAGCTAGGAAGCCATTAGGACACTTCATGGTTTATTAATTGGGGTTAGATTTGGCCTTTAAAAGCCAGTCCCAAAATAAGGAAAGGATTATAGCTTGTCAGGTTTAATCGCCTGTATTTGTCCCTGTTGGGGATATTCTGCTTGTTTACTGTCGTAGTGATCACACAGGTAGTGAAGAACAATCTCCTGAAATGCTTTGTAAACTGCAACAGAAAATCTGAAGCAAGAAAATTGACTTTTTTATTTATTTATTTATTTTTTTGTTTTATTAACCAGTTGCCACCCGGCCTATAGCCAGATGGCGGCCGGGCGAACAGCTCATCCCTCCGGGTGGACGCCATATGGTGTCCTTTCTGGAATGTGCATTGCGCATGCCTGCAAGGCTGTGCTGTGGCGAGCTCTGTCACCGGCCATGTACCTCGGATATGGCCGATCAGAAATCTGTGTACTGGCTCTGTTGTCAGTACCATGTGGCCTGCAGAGACCAATCACAACAGGTCACATGAGAGTTGTATACAATGGATGGCTTCCTTTCATGCCATCCATTGTCTAGCTGTGAATGGTCATAGCGATCACATGCACAAGCTGGGACAATCACAGCCCAGCTGTCATGTGATTTAGCTGTGGCCAAATCACAGCTAATCACAAAAAAAACCCTGAATTAATCGATTTCATTCAGGTAAATGCTTGCTTATAGCAAAGTAATTCTTTGCTATAAGCAAATTGTGTAAAAAAATAAATAAATAAATAAAATTCTGATCACTTCCCCAAAGTAGTACAATGTTACTATGGTAACATTATACTACTTTGGTCATAGTGCAATATAAAAAAAAAGAGAAAATATAATAAAAATAATAAAGAAAAATTGAAGAAATTTTTTTTTTTTTCCCCGTTTGTTCACCAGTCAGTGTCCTGTTCACCGCCATGCCAGTTATGATTATGTTGTACTGCACTGGTGACAGTATGTTAAAGAAAAAAAAAGTGAAAATCATTTTCCGAAAAATTATGACAAAAAAATTACGACTTCAAAAAACTCGACATGCCTGTTATGAAGTACGTCGGACTGTCTACTTTGCGAAAGGGGTCATTTGGGGGATATCTGTACTGTTCTGACATTCTTGGACCTCAAGAAATTAGATTGTTAGTGCTTCAGGATTGATCAATTTTCAGATATATCCAATAGTTTGTGAACTCTATAACTTTCCTACAGACTAAATAATACTAATTTGAGTTATTTTCACCAAAGAATGTAGCAGAATACATCTTGGCCTAAATTTATGAAGAATAATTATTTATTTGCAAACTTTTATAACAGAAACAAAAACTTGTTTTTTTTGGGGTTTTTTTGTTTTTTTTCAAAATGTTTGTTCTTTTTTCTTGTTAATTTAGCAAAAAAAAACCCCAGCGGTGATTAAATACCACCAAAAGAAAGCTCTAGTTGTGTGAAAAAAATGATAAAATTTTAGTTTGGGTACAATGTTGTATGACTGCGCAATTGTCATTCAAAGTTTGAAAGCGCTGAAACATGAAAATTTGGCCTGGGCAGGAAGGGGGTAAAAGTGCCTGGTATGGAAGTGGTTAAAATTCCCTGCGTGAGCTTGGTTGTGGTAACACAAGTTTGTGTGGTGCTTTTTTTCCACACTTGTGTTTTCTTCAGTTTTGTTTCGTGTAGTGTATAGCTGTGTCTTGGTACTTTATATACACCTGAACTTACATGTTGGATTGTCTTCTCCCAGTATGGATGAATGACTGTATGTTCTTCCTGTGACCCCCTCCTCCCTTCTAGCTCTAGGATGGTTGGCTGTTGTGTGTAGTAATGCCTCTTTTGAATTAACCTAGAAGCCAGAAGACGTGAGGTCCCCACAGCAGACTGTGACCCCTGCAATGACACCCCAGAAACCCTTAAAGGACCAGGATGAGCCAGAGGAGCTGGACTTCATGTTTGATGAGGAGATGGAGCAGATGGATGGCCGCAAGAACACCTTCACTGACTGGTCAGATGAGGACTCTGACTTTGAAATTGATGACCGGGATGTGAACAAAATCTTGATTGTCACGCAGACCCCACCTTACCTGCGCAAGCACCCTGGAGGAGATCGCACAGGAAACCACACATCACGGGCCAAGATGAGCTCCGAATGGGCCAAAGTGATCAATGATGGCTTGTTCTACTATGAGCAAGATCTATGGACTGAGAAGTTTGAGCCAGAGTATTCACAGATTAAGGTGAGTAGGGTTACAGTGGTTCATTCATAGTATAGTAGCGTCACATTTATATCTTATATATGGAAATCATTTTTTTTTCTCTTGCATGTGTGGGACCCCTTCTATAGGAACCTAGGTTTCCTCGTTTCTCAGTCCCTTTTTGAAACTAAGAGATCTTTATCCCTCCATATAGAGTGCCTGCTGGATCAAGCAGGAACATAAAATTGCATTGGTTTCTTTGCAGTACCAAATTTCTCCAGCAGGCAGCGTCCTGAGTTAATTCTGTAACTACTGTTTCGAGATTGGATAGATCCCGGGAGCTGTTTGCAGAGCAAGTTATTAGTCTCATTTTTGCCTCTGACTGTTCAAAAAAAAAAAAAAAAAAGGGCAAATTAAAATTGACCAAAAAAATTTTTTGCCAGGAAGGAAGGCTAACGAGGCTCATTTGTCTTCTCCTTGTTCTCACAAAGAACTGTACTCCACATGTGATTGTGGATTGTGTTCTTTTTGGGCCAGTGTGTGCTTATTGGTCAGCTGCCTTCATGTCACAGCAGGTTCTAGGCTGCACACTGAGCCCTCCAACTGTGACTCCTCTATGGGCATATTCTAGGCCTGGACAGTGGGGGTGGGACTATACTGGACATGAGATGCTAACCACCTTTGCAGAGGCTCATTGTGCACCCTGGCCTCTATATACCACAGAGGAAATTACTGCACATGGTACTCTTCTACAGATAAGGTGCATATTTGAACCAGTAATATGTTATTAAATTTAATAGGCTGTTAGGATTGGTCATGGCAACCGAAATCTTGACATTTCTTTCTTGAGCAGGTCAGTAGTTTGCTGTTGATAATTTTTACATTATTGGTTTAAATAGGTTTATTTTTTTGCATTCTTGATTGTTATCCAGGGATGTGAAAGTGTGCTTTTGCTTCTTTATGCCTAAATGGTGAACTACATAGGTATCAATCAAAGCAACCTTTGTTTAAAAAGCATTTAAGGTTTACTGTATACAACTCATGCTACTGATCCCAGCTGTATTCACCCATGGTAGCACTTGATGTGTGTGTGTATATAATACATATATATATATATATATAATATATATATATATATATATATATATATATATATATATATATATATATATATATATATATATATATATGTGTGTGTGTGTGTATGTATGTGTGTATATATATATATGTATATGTGTATATATATATAAATTTTTTTTTTTTTTTTTTTGCGCTGATGGGTTTGAAGCAGCCATTTTTATGGGGCCATGTTGCGGTCTCTAAAAGGAGTGGAATGCTTCATCTAACTGCTTGGACACAATGTCTTCTGTGAAGATCAAACTTCAGGGTCCTCTTCACAAATGATAGGAAGTATGAGACTGGTAATCCGATTGAAAGAGTTCATGCACTTTGGCTAGCTTGGTGCCAACCCTGGAAGGGTGAGCTCAATTTTTGCCAAGTCCTGTTTAGCCTGCTTGAACTCTGACCTCTGCAGAAAGACAGGACCTGATCATTTATAAATGTAGTTTATATACACCGCTTCACTGCCGTTTTCACATTCTGTTCTAATATATATTTCAGCAAGAGGTGGAGAATTTTAAAAAGGTCAACATGATCAGCCGAGAGCAGTTTGACACCTTAACTCCAGAACCTCCAGTCGATCCCAACCAAGAAGTTCCTCCAGGACCCCCAAGATTTCAGCAAGGTAATAGTGTCAGCAATGCTTTCCTAAAGTACTTGAAATGCACTTAGTAATGTTTCGCTAGGTAAATATTGATGTGTGGCCATTTGATGGAAAATCTTTTTCTTTTTTTTCCTAATCTCTCCTGACTCATAGTTCCCACAGATGCCTTGGCGAACAAGCTCTTTGGTGCCCCTGAGCCTTCCACCATCGCCCGCTCCTTACCGACCACAGTCCCAGAATCTCCAACTTACCGCAATGCCCGAACGCCACGTACCCCACGCACCCCCCGGTTGAAGGATCCTGCGGTCATGCCTCGGTTTTACCCTGTAGTGAAGGAGGCCCGATCGATTGATTCAAAGGTAATGGAGCTTAACTATTACAAAATAGGTGTACCTATAAAGTTGCTTGAATATATAGGCTGCAATTCAACATATATTTTAAAAATGGTTTCAAAATTTGAGGTTATAATAATGCCTTTGTGCATAAGTCCGTGAATGTATTTATACTCCTCTCTACTTTTAAAAAAGGTACCCTAGTCATGCTGAGTAATCTCTGCCTAGCTTAGCAGAAAGCCAGTGCGTATAAAATGGGGCCAGGTACTGTTACCTTTTGGCACTTTTTAAGGCATAGTGAAGTCCACTTTAATAAGTTTTTTTTTTTTTTTTTTATGAACACTTTTCAGTGATTTTTTTTTTTTTCTTTCTTCTTCTTTTGCAGACACCTAGAAAAAGGAAAACGCGACACAGTTCTAATCCACCCATGGAGTGCCATGTGGGGTGGGTGATGGACTCCAGGGAACATCGACCTCGAACTGCCTCTGTGAGGTAAGATAGCTGTAGATAAAACAGGATTTGCAGTGATACCACAATGCGTAGTAATGGTGTTCCTGCTTCTGTAAACTGTGAGTGTTTAACAAGTACGCTTGATAGGCTTGCAAATGGTTCGGCAAAGTAGCAGTTTCCATGGTGACTTCACAGCTATAAACCATAAAGTGTCATTGAATCCAGACCTTTTCATAGTGTATATTTAATCTTTTTTTAGATATTGTTGCAGAAGCTTTATAATATGTAAATTGTTTGTAAATACTTGATCTATGGGCTTCCCTGTTGTCAGTGATAATGCAATAGCAGCCGATCCTCTGGCTTTTTTATTGCCACGGTCAGTGTGCATGCTTCTCCAGTTCCCAGAGAGGAAGCTTTTCATGTCATCGTCTCTCCTCTGGAAGCCACCCCAAGTGATTTTAGTGTGAAGAGGGCAGCTCCAGGAGGATTAACTTCTTGCCGACCAGCCACTGTAGAAATATGGTGGCAGGTCGGCACGGCTGGGCAAAACCATGTTTTAAAACGTGCGTTTGCAAAACAGGTAGGGGGCAAGTGCGTGCCCACCCTACCCGATCGCCGCCGCAGGTGTCAGTCGCTGGGTCATGGCCGGTCATTACCTACCGTGTCCTGGCGATTAGCAGCAATCACTGACAGAGCGTACGGCTGCAGTGTTTACACTGCAGCCGTGCTTTCTGTCAGTCCCCTGTCAGCTCCTTGCATGCTGATCCGGAAAGAAGAGTTTCTCTCCAGATCAGCTTGTTCCCCTGCAGTACACACCCCCGCCCCCTAATAAAACACTCCCCTCACAGTTAACCCTTTCAGTAAACAAAAAAGTTAACCCCTTCCTCCCCAGTGCCGTTAGTACAGTGTCAGTGTGTTTTTGTTTTTTTTTTTAGCACTGATCACTGTATTGGTGTCACTGGGGATGTCAGTGATCCCAAGTCAGTTCCCCCCCAGTGTCAGAATGTCCGCCGCAGTCCCGCCATAAGTTGCTGATCGCCGCCATTATTAGTATAAAAAAAAAATTAAAAATCCCAGTATCTTTCCCGCCATTTGTAAACGCTATAACTTTCACGTAAACCAATTTACACATTGTGGGTTTTTTTAGCAAAAACATGTCGCAGAATACATTTTGGCAGAAATTTATGACTAAATTTGATTTTTACATTTTTTTTTTTAACTGGACATGTTTTATAGCAAAAAGTCCCAAATATTTTTTTTTTGTCCCTCAAAATTGTCAGCCTTTTTTTTTTTTTTTTTTTTTTTTTTATAGCGCAAAAAAATAAAAAAAACACACAGGCGATCAAATACCACTGAAAGAGAGCTCAATTTGTGGGGAAAAAAAGGATGTAAATTTCATTTATGTAGCGTATTGCATGACCGCGCAGTTGTCCGTTAAACTAGCGCAGCGCTGTATAGCAAAAAAGACGTAAATTGCAGTATTTATACCATAGTTTGTAGACGCTATAACTTCCACACAAAGCAATCATATACACTTATTGGGATTTTTTTTTTACCAAAAACATGTAGCAGAATACATTTTGGCCTAAATTTATAACCAATTTTGAGTTTACAATTATAATTTTTCTTCAAAATTTGTGGTCTTTTTCTGTTTATAGCGTGAAAAATAAAAAGTGCACAGGTGATCAAATACCACCGAAAGAAAGCTCTATTTGTGTGAAAAAAAGGACGTAAATTTGATTTGGGTGCAGCATTGCATGACCGCGCAATTATCAGTTGAATTAGTGCAGCGCCGAGTAGCAAAAAGAGGCCTGGTCATTAAGGGGGGTAAATCCTCAGGAGGGCAAGTGGTTAATGATATCTGCTCCCTCTCCCCTGTTCTCTGCCCACAAGATCACCTGTGTGCACTTTTTGGAGTGGCTGCAGCAGGAATGATCGAGGCGTCTTCCCTGAAGAGACCCCACGTGACACACACAGTTCAGGCTTGAACTATAATTGATTGTAGATCGGAAGAGCATAGAGAAAGCTGAGCAAATGATGATCATGGCAGGTGATAAAGAGCACAGAGGACTAAGGAACATTGGGCGAGAAGGCAGAACAGGAGGTGACTGGAGAAGAAAGTAACTTAAAGTGGAACATGAGTGGAAAAGAGGCAGAATGGGATGGTTGAGTAGGATAGGGAGAGTGACATCTGCAGGCTTTGGCAGAGCTATCTGACTTGCACCACATTCTGGTCTCACACTGCAGTGGAGAGAAACAAGTTTATCACGCGTTTGATTTATATGAGATTGAAAAAAACTGTATTTGGGATTTTTTTTTTTTTTTTTGTTCGAGATTAATTCTTCTGTTAGATTTCCTGATATCTACTGTTTGAAGTTGCTATAATGGGTTTAATTACACTTTAAAGAAAACCTGTCTGAGGAAAATCTGTAGGCTACCATTGCTGAGCTCTTCTGAAAATGTTTCAAGTTCAGTGTACAGATAAGAACTTCTCGCCCTTCCTTTTCCTAATCTGGATACTACGCCAGTTGATGGCGTAGTGTGTTACCAATAGTTTTCTTGGTGACTGGTCCCAGCTGCCTGGAGATCATTGACTAGATCCTCATGTGTAGTTCTGGGATGATTCCTCACTGTTCTCATGATAATTGACACTCCACGAGGTGAGATCTTGCATGGTGCACCAGACCTAGGGAGACTGACAGTTGTTTTGTCTTTCTTCCATTTGCGAATGATTGCACCAACTGTTGTCACCTTCTCACCAAGCTGCTTGGCGATAGTTTGGTAGCCCAGTCCAGCTTTGTGTAGATCTACAATCTTGTCCCTGACAACCTTGGACAGCTATTTGGCATGGTGGAGAGTTTGGAATCTGATTGCTCCTGTGAACAGGTGTCTTTTTATACAGGTAACAAAATGAGATTAGCAGCACTCCCTTTAAGAGAATTCTTCTAATCTCAGCTTGTTACCTGTATGAAAGACACCTGGTAGCCAGAAATCCTGCAGAATGATAGGGGATCAAATACTTATTTCCCTCATGAACATGCAAATCAATGCATAATTTGTTAGACATGCATTTCTTTTGAATTTTTTGTTGCTATTCTGTCTCTGTGTTACAATACACATTTGTGAGTGGGCAAACATTCAAAATCAGCAGGGGATCAAATACTTATTTCCTTCACTGTACCTGTTGCCTTTGCATTTGTCAGCCAGCCTCCCTAATGGAGGGTATTTTTATTGAATTTGCAAAGCTATAGGCAAACACCCATGGCCTCTGCAGGACCAGATAGGACTGCTGATAAGTCACTTTGACCTCCTAAATTAATGGCATTACAGGAGCATGCGTAATCTCTAGTATCAGTAAGTGGAGAAACTGGGGGGGTTCTGAGGCTCTGCTGGAATGACTGATGTTAAGATAACGGGCGTCTTACAGCTTATGCTGATATAGATATATATATATATTTTTTTTTTCAGATTAGTAATTGTGTCCACCCCACCAACAACCCACTTAACCTTGCTAACACTCCTCAGGCCTAACCTTTTATAAGCTTCATATTGAATGTGCCAGACATTACATGCAAGCTGAGGTCACTTCCTCCCTCACATGACAGTGTTTGAGCCTGGTGCTGAGACATGATCACTGCATGATGTGTTACCCTTAGAAATTTTGCACCATCTCTAATGGATAAGTGAATTACTGTGTGGAACAGGCGTGCAAACATGTTGGGAGGGTGAACCCCAACAACATGTTATAGCAAATCTGCTAGAGGAATAATACTGAACAGACCTTGCAAGGTTAAGTAAAATGGGGAAAAAAATAATGGTTACGAAGCTAATTAATACACGAAGTTGGCGGACTCCTCATAGACTAAGTAGATCGTGCGCTCTACATCATATTCAATTTCCACCTTGTGGAACTTTTGGAATCCACTTCTGGCATTCCCCGCAACCCTAAAAAAAAAAATACATATCTGTATTTACCCCTATCTCGCCATTTTCTCCCCTCCCTTCTCTATTTCCCCCCCATTTTCCTCTTAAGTCCCTAACCCCTTCCCACCCAATTGTCCTCTCATGGTTTCTACTGGCACTTTTAGGCTAGGTGGACAGCTAGCGTTTTGTGAATTTGTGTTTTGTATGGTTTTGTGCTTGTTGGTTTTTTTTTTTTTTTTTTTTTCATTTCAATGTGCTGCTCTACACACGACAAATGTGCCAAAGTAACTTCTGTATCTTTTTGAGCACTGCGCTTTGCGCATTTTCGCAAACATGAAATCACACATTTGCTTGTTGCATTTGCGGTGCCATTAACAATGAATCAATGAATGGCACAAGCGCATCTCACATTTCTGCACGTTTTGTGGACAGAGCGCTCAATTGTAAATGCAGCCTTAGCCCTTATATGTTGTCTTAGAAGGATTTATGAATATCAGTAAATGGCAAAGCATAAAGTTGAATTCCAGTATTGGTGGCCTTATGTCCTATGGAGACTGTTGGAAGTACAGCTGAGAGAATTACTTGTTGTGTTACAGCTCCAACGCCAGCCCTTCTGAGGGGGCTCCATCCCTGAGCAATTACGGCTGTACGCCCCAATCTTTGCCAAAGTTCCAGCATCCTTCCCATGAGCTGCTGAAGGAGAATGGATTCACACAGCACGTTTACCACAAGTACCGCCGACGTTGCCTTAATGGTGAGAATTTGCCATTGCTAAATGTTAAGGCTTGATTTGCAAGGCCCTCACTTGCAGAAATCTCACTGCTTTGTTCATTCCTTAGAGAGGAAACGGCTAGGCATTGGCCAGTCCCAAGAAATGAACACACTTTTTCGCTTCTGGTCCTTCTTCCTACGAGATCATTTCAATAAGAAGATGTATGAAGAGTTTCGACAACTCGCCGTAGAGGATGGAAAGGAAGGATACAGGTAGGTGACCGTCCAACTACATAGCTGTCCTTTTTAGACTGTGGCAAAGCATGTGTGTGTTCAGTTCATTTCCCTGAATTGTCTTGTCTGTTCAAAGGTGGATGTCTCTGCATCAGTCGTAGTCACTGTTGCTAATACATTGATGTTCTTTTGCACTGTCACATTCCATTAAAGAAATGCAGAAAATTCTCAAGTCTAATTTTGTTGAATAACACTGGCATTTTCAGGTATGGTTTGGAGTGCCTTTTCCGATACTACAGCTATGGTCTGGAGAAAAAGTTCAGAGTGGACATTTTCCGGGACTTCCAGGAAGAAACCAGGAGGGACTATGAAACGGGGGTAAGTCTTGTAATTTAATGTTAAACAGTGAAGGGGGTTGATTACTTATAGATTTACATCTTCCAATATCTATCTTATAAGTAGATTTCTGGGGTGTTTTTTTTACTAATCAGGTTTTCTTTAGGTCATTTATTTATAGGGTACTGAAGTCTGTCGCCATTTCACAGGCGCATACAAATTTAAGGCTTGACATGTTGGGCATCTATTTATTCGGCGCAGCCTCGTCTTTTATAATGTATTGCATTTGTTTGTTCTAAAATTCACTTTAGTGTGTTTTTTACTGATAGTTTGCATTTCCTAGACCTTTGCGGTAATATAATTTGACCTGGCATTATAACTATTCTCTAGGATGTCTGCTCTCAGAAAATATGCAATGTTTTTTGGGATTTGTGTAATCTTCAGGCCTAAAATTTTTTAATGTGTGCAAAAACGTCTCTGGCAGCAAAAGGGTTGAAGTATCTTGCAGTTCAGCCAGCATGGTCTCAGAAGTGCTTGCTTATGCCACTTGATCTTGGAACTACAGCCGCCATCTTGCACACTGTGCTCTGCAGAGCCAGCTCTGTCCTTCCTTGGTGTCATGGCTGCCAGAAGGATCAACAGTCTCACAGTACGGCAGCAGGTCTATAGTGTGCCCGCGGTGCAGTAGCAGGTTTTTTCAGGGATATTGCTTGAAAACTGATATGCACACCCAATCACATCTGCAGCCAGCCACGTACCCCATTTCATAAGCAGTTAGTGCAGAACCAAACCCATGGATTGCTAACTATCACATTTGCTTGTGTTCTCAAACCATCAAATGGCTGGTGTAAAAATTGGTCACATGTGCATCATCATAGCAGTTGCAGAACAGAGGCCAAGATGGCATCTTCCTTGGCTTCAAATGATAGGAGGCCTTAGTTCCCCTTTTAATTGCCTTGCTGTCATGCTGACATATTTTTTTTGTTTTTTTTTTTATAGTTTGAGCCACTGGCTAGGAAGTAGCTTGCAGAGAAGTTCTGCCTTTTGTGGTGTGTGGGAAGATTTGATCATCACACCAGCCAAAAACGTGGCGACAGCCCTGTAAATTAGGTTCAGATGTCAACAGTAAAGGTTACTGTTATTACTACAGCATTCAAAGACCTTTTAGACAACTGTGTGCTTCCAGGCTTGTGGCCACAGTTTACGAAACGCCCTTTTCTATTCCAGCATTACATGAGTTTTGTATGAAAGAACTTTGGGATGGATTGGAACACTGATTGCATGCGTGGTCTTCACCTCCAACATTAGAACCTGTCCTCACAAATGCTCTTTTTGGTTAAAAGGGTACTGATTTACAAACATACTGCAAAATTGTGTGAAAACTCTTCCCATAAAAATGAATGCATTATAACCATAAGTAAAAGCCAATTCCATATTAGAGACCTTATCTCTCGACCATTCATTTCAACAAGAGTCTTCCCAAAAGATATGTGCATTTAAAGTGTATTAAACATTTTATTTACTTGTGAAAACCTCTTATGTGGGCATCCAAAAGCCCTGAGACTACTGCTGAGTGCTCCCACCTTGGATGTGATGTCAGGCAGACTCCGGGCTCTCACTCAGGTGACATGTCAGGCAGACTCCGGGGCTCTCACTCGGGTGACATGTCAGGCAGACTCCGGGCTCTCACTCAGGTGACATGTCAGGCAGACTCCGGGCTCTCACTCAGGTGACATGTCAGGCAGACTCCAGGCTCTCACTCAGGTGACAATCTATAGCTCTGGTGCCATGGACTTGTGGCCACCAACAGGGTGGCAGCAGGATACTTGACACTGGAACGCACTGGAAGGTTAATGTTCACTGCCACTGACCAACAATGTTCTCACTAGTAGAAAGGATAAAAACTTGACTGTTATTGACCTGTGAACTGCCGCCACAGACCAGTAATATATATTTACCAATTCTTTTTACAGCTTTAGAACATGTTGAGTTGTCAGTTAAGAGGTGACTTAGGGCAGATCTGAATGGTGGACAAATTCAAGGCTGTAGATTACAGTAGAAATGGGTGTTTGGCTTATACCTTCTCTTGTATTTCATTTACCTTCAATTTAACATTTACGTTTCCCAGTTTTCACCCTCTTGTATTGAAAACCATATGCTGAAAGTTGGATAACTTCCCCCTTAGGCTGATTTACCTTTCACTTGCGTAATGCTCATTTTCAAATTTTGCTCATTCAAGGTCAACTATATGGACTTGAGAAATTCTGGGCCTTTCTGAAATACTCCAAAGCCAAAAACCTGGATATTGATCCAATGTTGCAGGATTACCTGAGCAAGTTCCGTCGGCTAGAGGATTTCCGAGTGGATGTAAGTATACAAGAACAGTTTTATAGGACTTGTAGTAGTTCAGTCAAACTATTGTCACTCAACTTGCATGTTTCGTTGCACCATGTTTTCTCTACAGTAGCATGATGACCTTAACCTCTTGTTTTTTCTTATGACAAAATCAAATTGTCCAGAAAGCTGTGCAAAGCCCACAAATGTATCACTCAGCAGAACCTTTTTTTGTTTTGGATAGAGTAGAGGCAATCTAAAGCACCTGTCTCGTTTCTGTCTGTGCCCTTGTTAGGGAAATTCACCCTCTGTCATGTTTACTATTATTGATAGTGAAATCAATATCCAGTAATGGAGAGGAAATCTTGCAATGGAGGCACTACTATTGCTGACCCTAGTGACAACAACTTTGGAGGAATTTCCTCACTACTTGTTTTGGCTATAGGACAGGAAGTAAAGGGAAATTTACCCAATGGGACATAAATGGCAAACAGGTTTATAATCCTCCCTTAAGTTATCCATAATGAAAAATAAAAAGCCTCTAGTTTTTTTATTTAACCTCTTAACGCTGGCAGCTCCTGGCCTCTTTAGGGGTTCCTGATTTCGGGAGGCGTGGCAGGGTATATGATCATGTGACCGCCGTGATTAGCGGTCACATGATCCGAAAGCTCCTGATCGCAAGTAACAATTAGGAGCTTTCCTTAAGGCACAGTAACTGTGCCAGGAACGCGCAAGGCGTGCACTCTCAGCACAGTTTACATTTTGTTATGCAAATATGCAGCATTTTAGTGTCCTGGTCCACCCACCCAGAGGCCACATATTTGCATACTCTTGGCACAAAGGAGTTAAGGCTGTTGGTCAACAAAATAGCTTGATGAACCAGACAAAGACCTTGGGTGTACCTCCTAATTCCGAGGTCTTTTCCACATGTGGTTTTGAGAAAGGCGCTTGTGACCTTCTCCAGGCCTGACAGCTTGCTGCTCAGGCCTAAACACTGCGTCATTGAACAGCCACATGACATAGGGGTGGGCAAATTCAACCTGTTGGTTCCCACACAGCAACAATATTTTGCAGCAGGAAAAGGTGAGTAGAAGCTTGTCAGGAGCTGGGGTTTGAAGAGACTGTCACTTTGCCTTTAATGATCACTCAACACAAGATTGTGTTTTTGTTGGAGGAAACTAAAAGGGAATCCCTCACAAAAAAGACGACTATTATATGGCCCTGATAGAAAAGGAGTTTTGCTTTTAAGCATAGCAAGAAAGCACAGCTAGACACTCAACTTTTGTGCGTGATATAAAAAAACTGTACATACAGGGTTATAAGTATGTGTTCTCATCTCTTCCAGCCCCCGATTGGAGAAGATGGAGGGTCCCGAAGGCGCCCCTCCTTTTCAGGTGAAGGCAGAAGAAGGTATCCTTCACAGTCTTCCAGCAAAGGATCTAGTCATCAGTCCCAATCAGCGTCCCACAACCCAGGAAAGGATGACCTCAAAGGCCAAAGCCAACCCTCAACTGCCATCCCGGATTCCCAGACACCGGGTGGGGAGAAGTAGAATGGATCCTTTTGGAGCTATGGAGGGTTTTGGGGAGGGAACATTGGGAAATTTCCTCAGTGTGGAGGGAGATGATGGTTCAAACTTGATAAGGATTCCCCTCTACTACTGAACGAAAATGATTCTGCTTTAAACAGAGACTCCTTTTTCTGGAGACATTGAACTGTTCCCATGGCTTACCTGCCAGGGTGGCGGATGCTCATCCCGCAACGGAAGAGAACTTTAGTTTGCTTTAGGGGTATAAAATTTTAGTTTTTTTTTTTTTCTTTCTCCCTTCTAGCAGGAACCTGGAGGAAAGGGCTGGAGGAGTCGGGAGGTAGATTTTTTTTTTTTTTCTTTTTTTTTTTTTTTGTTTTTAAATTATTGAATTGCTGCCCTTCCTCTACGCAGGGTTGGCCGAAAAAGTGCAGGACTCATCTCTGCTCTAACTGCTGAACGGACAAAGCAGAGGTTTGCTGTTACAGGCTCCGGAGGATGAAACATCACCACTTCTGTCTGCCACGGAGCTGCTTGTATTTCACTCTAGACTCCGCCCTCTTCGCCTGTGGCATTTGGATTGATTCCTCCTCTGGATACAACTGAGGATCTAAAAATTGGCCACTCGGAGGTGCTGCTGCTTTCATGTGGCTTCTGTACTACAGCAAAACCTTTTAACCCCCCCCCCCAAGGCACACAGCCCACTGCTTTCACCACAGCCTGCATCTTTTTCTTTTTTTTTTTTTTTCCTTTTTAAAGATATATATATTTTTATTTGTTTTTGTTTTATTGTTACTTCAGACTGTGAAAGAGAAAACTACAGAAAAAAAAACTTAATAGCAGACAGCTACATATGAGAACGATAAAAAAAAAAAAAAAAAACTTTGACAAAAACTGCCTTTAACTTTTCCCTATCAAAATTATACTAAGCGATGATAAAGCAGAGTACAAAATGTTGCCTTATTGTAACCTTGATACTCGCAGAGAGCTGCTGTTTTTACGGGAGAATTTGTGGCTGGTTGAAAGCAGAGATTGCAGAAAGGGGGACTTTGCATGGCAACAAGTGAGCAGTTTTTTAATTTTTTTTTTTCCTGTTTTCCATCACTGCCGCTTAATTTAACAGAGACCTTTCAAGCTTGGCTAAGCCCCAGGGTGTAATTACTGGGTGTATACAGTAGAATATGCCACTGATTTGCTGAGTGAGACTGTTTTCCCCTCCTCCAAGAGATGTATAGAATTAAGTTGATTGGGTATATACTGTGCCGAGGGTTGGTTGTGTTCATCTGCTGTGTCACTTTTGGGCGTGATAACAGGGCTTCATTTTATCAAACGTTGGCAAGTAAAAGCTGGTCATTGCGATCCTGGGCTGCATTGGATATTTATACCGCCAGGAGGGGCTCACGAAACAATACACCGTTTTGACTGTTTACCATATCACTGCCACAATGTTGTCTGCTGGGCTGTGGAGTGCCTGAAACCTGTGGTAAAATGAAAAGTAGTGCTTGTTTAAATGCTATGGGGTTCTTTCTGTCTGCTCAAACTTAGACATAAATGTGGCAAAAACAAAAGATGCAAAACCTTTTTCATTTAGAGCTGGCAAGGCACCTGCCATTTTGTATGCTGTGAACTTGCTCTGCAGCACGGGAGAAGTGAGGGGGATGGGGTCTGGGTTCCCTAAGGTCAGGGTAACTGGGATGTGGCCCTCTTTAGTTTTTGGAAATTGGGTATTTATATTTCCATTAAAAAGGGTTCTCAACCCTACACTTCTGTCTCTAATACGGTCTATTAGAATTCGGTATATGGCAGGGGTCATTTTGCAAGTGAACACAGCCACAGGGTTAGAATTTCTGGAGCTCCATTACTTTGTCTTTAAATGAAAGGAAACAGGTACACTATGAATATGCAGAATTACTGTATTCACTTTGCCCTTGGTAGTAATACTGGTTTATTGCTTGAAATCCTGCGGTAGATGAGTACTAGTCCTGCACATCAGTTCACTTAGTATGCAGAATGGCTGCATTGTGTACAATTTATTTTAGGGCTGGATCCTTATGGACATAATATCTTTTTGCTGTTCAAAAACAGAAGCTAGTGATTTCCCTTTTATCTGTCCTGCATTTGTGTTCACCATTGCTGGTATCTAGGAACCAGCAACTGTTTTTTGTCCTACTTTTCACAGCAGTGTGGTCCTGTCTCACTGGAGAATGGGGGAGAGCCATGGATGAGGGTCTGGAACTTCCAGAATGCTCTTCAAGTCCTTGTAATGGTGCTTTAAGATAAGCTCTCAATACCCCTTCTCCTTTTTTTCAATAATTTATGCAGTGGAAAGGGTAAAATCAAAGTCCAAAATATGCTTTTTTTAAATGTATATTTGTGCTACGAAACATATATTACATAATATATAAAGAAATATATATTATATCAAGTCATGGTTAGCTGCTGACAAGCCTTACTTGGCCTACTTTTGTTTTTATATTGGGATTTCACAGTGTGTTAATAGTGGGTTTTTTTTTCTTTTCTTTTTTTTTTAAATCACGTTTCCACAGACTTAAATTTGGCTTTATATAATTCAAAGGAAACGTTGCATGGTCCCAGTTTGTTGCACCTTAAGAGGTTTTGCCAGATCCAAGCTACCTATACGCCAGCAAATGGACTCTCTAGCTACAACTTATCGAACCCCTTCAGAATGCCGGTGTGTACTTATAAACTTTTGTGGCATTTTTGTCCCCAATTCAGGCTCCAGTCTCCAGGGTGTTCACTAGGTTCTCCATTTTTACAACTTTCAGAATTTAGACGACGTTCCCCTAGCTTCAGGAACCAAGAATCTGGTTAGGCTTTTTGAATTTTAAAAAAAAAAAAAAAATCCTTTCCCCATGATCCTTTGCCAACTTTGAAATACCAACACCACCACCACAAGGTCACCTTTTTGACCTTGTTCATGCAAGCTGCTGCCCCGTGTCATGGAATGCTAAGTACATAATCTTGCCCGTTATAATCCAACAAAACATATGAGAACAGAGAAAATCGTAAAAAAAAAAAAAAAAAAAAAAAAAAAAACAAAAAAAGAAAATGTAAAATACTTGAATGAGCGCTTGTATTATAACATTAATATTATTCAGAGTATCCATTCTTATTGCGTTTATGATTTGCTTATAGCTGTGCTTTAGTCATGGTAATTTGTGGTAATTCTACTTTTCTCCTTTTTAATACAAAAAAAAATGTATAAAAATAAAAACTTTAAAAGACCAGTGTTTTGTGTGTTCTTACTTTTACTTGTGGTTTTCCAGTTGTACTAGTACGTGTTTTAAGAAGCTGTTCCATTTAATTTTAAATATTCTTTGACAAGGCTTTTAAATTCTTGCTTGTTTTATATTTTGTCTTTAACCTGATTGTTATAGGTTTCCCACTGATAAGTTGATGCAGTTGTCTTCACCAGGCAACCATTCTTGTGAGCTATGGACTGTCACCGTTACTGTGCCATACTAAAGCCGAAATGCTGGCAAAAAGTTACACATTCATGCAGCAATAATTGTTGCTCATCCATTGAGGGACATAGGAAGTTAACTGCTACCTATGCAAGGATTGGATACTGGCAAACAAAAATTGTAAGCCAGTCCAGGACAACCTCTCCTAGGATATTAGTTAAAATGGAGGCATGCCAGTTGACGGAGGATGGATGTATTTTCTTAGGCTCTTCGATGGCTGTCTACGATAGCTGCTACCCAGAGTGGCCTAACCTAACCGTTGACTTTGGAAGCACCCCTAATGTGTCCTGGATTCCCCCTACATATACTCTTCCTCTGTGATCTGCTGTTTAGGTAACTTAGCCTAGGTCCCATGTTGCCATCTTGGACTGCCTTAGTGATTATGAGTTGGCTACTCCTTCTGGGCTTAGGTAGCCACCACGTGAGGATGTGCAGAGCTCTGCCCACCAGGGGATGCCGTGCCCCTACCTCCTAAAGCCTAGGTGAGAATGTTGACAGCTCTGGAATAAACATGAATGTATAAGAACTGGGGGGGGGGGGGGGGGGGGGTTGCTGCTAATATCCTTTGTGGGTTGCAGTGGGACAAATTAATTGTACAGGACACAGGCTTTGATATTCATAGACCCTGGGTTATAGGCTGCTAACTTCAAGTGATTGGACATTGGTATTACTTTTGAGGACAAGAAAATTCCCTGGGGAATTCCCCTATAACCCCTACCCAACTCTGTTTTTCCTCGTTTTTTTGTAGTCCTAAGGTGATGGACCACTTTTCCCTTACGGTGAAATTTTTGTGTGATCAACCCTTCAGTCATCTATTTACTGTATTCTAATGCAACAATAAAAGCAGGGTATCTGGATCAGCACAATCTCGATAAAACCTTGGCAGCTGTACCCAAGCCCCACGCCATGAGGAACGGCTTATATTACCGAGGACACTAGATCCTGCATGGATGTTCACCTCGGCATTTGGTGCAGCATATTAAGAGTTAACAGCAGGGTGCTATACAGGTCCAGGGACATTGTCCATCTTTTTGGAACCCAGACTCTGAAGACCCTTTTAGGGGTGTGCCTGCTGTGAACCTGGTCCCTATGTAGGGACCAGCAACATGGACAGGTAAGGCAGAATCAGTCTCTTTAGCCATTACTGTAGTTCCACAGCCAGTATAAGTCCCAATATTTCCATTACTTGCTTTATACTATTTTATGTGTATCCTGAATAGAATGCGTTTTATACGTTGCAACTTAGTGTTACTAAACCCAGGACCCTGCATTCACTATATCTGGTCTCCCACAGTACACACAGCATGGAAGTGCAATTGTTTTGATAAATTATAAACTGCTAAATACCTTTTCTCATCAGCAGTTACAGCAGTCTTGTGTCTTCTAGCAGTGTCCAGCCGAGCACTTGTTAAAGCTTGTAGGAGTTTTCTTTGTGCTCTAAGAGGATGCAGAACCCCTGACCTCTGTCTGGACAGTGCTGATCACATGCACTCTCCCAAGAAAAAAAAAAACCCTATATCAAGGCACACCAAACAGCAT